AAGCTCGAAGATCTTGCGGACTTGTTGATTATACCGGTGGACCTCGATGACTTCACCAGCAAACGACTGACTGGTCTTGACGTTTCCCAGGCGCTCTTCCGCAATCTTAGTCAACGATCCCAAGTTCTTTTGGATTTTGCGACTGAGGTTCCTGATAGCTCGGCCGTAAAAGAGAGCGCCGAGGCCAATTGGAGGAAGCAACACAAGCAAGATCATAGACAGCTTTGCACTAGTATAGGCCATCAGACTGAACCCAGCCGCACCGCTAACAGCAGCTCGTAGACCGTCAGACAAGTTCTGCGTGATGCTCTTGCCAACAATGATAGTGTCAGAGCTAAGTCGCGAGATCAGATCACCAACCCGGTTGGCATCAAAGAACTCAGCATCCTGCACGAAGGTTTGACGGAAAAGCTTGGAGCGTAGCCTGGCTACAATTCGCTCGCCGACAATTCGAAGAATTATAATGCGCCCGTAGTTTGCACCAGCACCGAGAAGTAGGATTCCACCGAGAGCAGTGTAAAACATGGGCATGCTCAAGCCGAATAATTCGCCGCCTCCTTCCATTACACCCTTGGTCGCAGCGTCCATGATTTTACCAATGGAGAAGGGAACTGCCATTGTGATCGACGAGGAGATTAGGAGGAAAAAGAAGGCGAAACCGAGGGCCTTGGATTCGGGGCGCGCGATCTTCAAAAGCCGCCAGATTTCTGCGAATCCGGACTTCTTTCCCGATGCGCCTTCCTTGGCCAATCTGGCGCTCATGTTAACCTGCGCTGCCTGCGCTGCGCGCTCAGACAATTCAAAGCCCTTGTCTTCCTCCTCTTCTTCTTTTGGTTCCGGAGCTGACCGGGTAGTTGGGTCCGTGGAGGTCGCGGGTGGCTTCGCTTGGAGAAATTGAGGAGTTGAACATAAAAGACGTGTTTGGGAGACAATTCGAGACGTAGAAGGGGTATATTTGAAGATGTTGTTTTGAAGCAAGAGTGGGTTGGCACCATCCCGGAGTGCACCCGAGGCGGTTGAATAGAGACGATCCAGCCCATTGTGGTCGCCGGAAGAGGCAATGGGCGATCTTGTTTTGATAAGTAAGTCACGAGTAAAGGAGTTATATGGCCTCAAAGCCTGCCGTGGGCTGACGCCCAAGGCCAGAGACACAGGCAGCCTGGCACCGCGCATCTCGGAGTTGTATCGGATGAGGCTCGAAACGGAACGGAGTTACAATGATGTCACCGAATAAGACCTAGGCATGACATATCTGAACGGAATATGTTCAAGTTTAGCACATCACATGGCACACATTCAGCTCCTTGGAACGTGCGATGGGATTGAGAGCGATGTATCTAGAGCTTCGTCCGACGCCTATGGCCATCGGCAAAGCGGTTTTCGGGGCCGATTTTGCCTTGATCGACCGCTCGTGATTTTGCCAGAGTTTACCGCCCATGGAAGCCGGTCGAGAGCTTTGGATACTTCGTCTGTTCTGGTGCCAGAAGCTTTATTTATTCCGAGTTTCACTAAGTTGAATCGCTTGTATATTGCTGAACTTGCTACATCATTAGTTGCGGGTCAAAAACTTTTGTTTCCCACCTATCTTCTCTGCCGCTGATACACCACCCCACCTCATACCTACTCTACACATTCACTGTCCGACAATATGGTGCTTGACTACAGCAAATGGGACGCCTTGGAGCTGTCCGACGACTCGGACATTGAAGTCCATCCTAATGTTGATAAGCGCTCTTTCATCCGAGCAAAGCAGGCCCAGATTCATCAGCAACGAGACCAGCGTCGCCATGAAATCAAAACCCTGAAGTACGAGAGCATTATCAATGATGGATTGCTGTCGCGCATCGATAAGCTTCTCGAATCTCTCAAGAAGCACGAAGACTCATCTGCTTCCCCCGATGAGTTCATTTTCACGACGATTATGGAGCTCGCAAGCAACCCCGCCGAAGACCAGGCCCCCGCCCCGCCGGAGGGAGTATACACACACGAAGCGGAACAACCCAAGTTTTCCCAGATGATAAGTTCACTAGTGGATCAGGTGAAGAAGGAAATTGGCGATTCTAAGCCTGAGAACCTCTTCAAGGCATACATCCAGGGCGTGAATGAACACTTGGAAAAGATCCAAGCCCTCCAGAAGGAATTGTTTGCGAAGCTTGCGCAACTTGAGAAGGAGGAAGGCGCTAAGATCACCAGTGATAAGCTACATGAAGGTTTCAACCAATCTCATGTTTCTAAGGTTGCTGAGAAGGAGAAGGAGAAGGCGGTTGCGAAAACAAAGGAGAGCTCTGTTGAGCTCCTGAACCCTGGTGCGGGAAGCTCCGCCGCCAAGGCCGATGATGAAAGCGATGAGGATGATCCTGCCGATATCGAGATTAGTCCGCTGGCAAAGAAGTTTGCTCAGCTCAAGCCTGGAGACTACAGCGCCTATCTAAACTTCATCTCAGCGAACCCAGACATTGTTGCCGAGAAAGAGACCGACGGTCTACTTGTTGAGGCATTCAACAGTCAGCTCAAGGGCAAAGATGCCTATGCTCGCCAGTGCGTGCACCAAGGTCTGCTTCTGCAATACTGCCGCTCGCTCGGCCGTGACGGTATCCAGCTGTTCTTCACTCGGTATGTCAATCTACTGCTTCCTTTTTTCAGTCAATGGCTAACATATAAACTTCCAGCATCACCACCAAGGATCACCGCGCATCAACCCTGTTCCTCAATGATGTCAATGAAACCTACAATCGAATCAAAACTCGTTCCGCTGAACTCAGCAAGGATGGCTCGGCATCCAACGATCCTGCGGGCGTAGAGCAAATCCAGCTGCACGCCGTTGACCCCAACACCAAGATCACCATCAACCTGCCCGCCGCCAATAGTGAGGACCCCACTGAGATCGAGGTACGCAAGATCTTCGATGCTTTCCCTAAAGACCTGCAAAAGGCATTGGCGACTGAGTCTTTGGACGAAGTCAACAAGGTTCTTGGCAAGATGTCCGTCGAGGAGGCAGAGGTCATTGTGGAGCAATTGGGCAATGGTGGCATGCTCAGCTTGGAGGAAGGAATCGTGGATGCCACGACAGCAGAGGGCCAGAAGAAACTGAAGGAGCTGGAAGAAGAAGGAAAGCAGGAAGTTGGTGAGCCCGGTGGTGACGTTACCGAGCTTGACTAAGGATATGCAAAAAGCGATGATGATATGAACTGAGTGTGCAATTATTTATCTTGAACTGAGAACAGGTTAACAACTACTTCCAAGCTTGTTGTGCATTTGTAACCATTCATTCTACTGTTTCAAGGTTGGCCTCTACTAGAGATACCTAATCAGAGTTAATCGGCCGGAGAAGGAAATCCGTGGTATTAACGATGCTATCAATTTGAGTGAGATACTAATTTACAAACCCCCCCAGAGACTTCGCTGCGTGGAGTTAAATAAAATAAAGAGAACAAGAGACATAGGCTGCCATATCACGGCCAGGCTACCAAATAATGCGAGGGGGGTGTAGAAAAAGCCATATCATATGAGTAAATGTGGGAAAGTTGGGAAATACCACGTCTTAACCCCGGACTCCCGAATCTTCTATCCCCCACGCGCCAAAGCAAACCACCTAGATCCCACTGGAGCCGGGAGCCTCTTGGTCTTTTCGGAGGTCGATCAACAATTCGCGGAAACGCTCCTTTCCGGAGCCGCTGGCACCGCCCGCGGAGCCCTTGCCCGAAACATCAACCAGCTTAGCAATGCGCTCCCAGCTAGTGCCACCGGCGGAGGTGTCCTCCCGGTTGGCGAGAAACTGGTCGGCCTCGGCGCGGGCGTGGGAGCGGGTCTTATCGGCCTTGTTGTTGTAGGAAACGTAGAAGTCGTCGATGTCCTCCTGTGCCTTCTTGACGGTAGCAGCCTTCTTTTCGCTGGAGACCTCTGCACGGCGGGCGATCTCAGCATCACGCTTCTCGCGCCATTCACTAGGGATTGAAAGACAGAAGTTAGCTTGGGGATCCGGGCCGAAACAAGATAAAAGCAGATCGCAAATGCTATGCGCCCCGTCATCCAGAATTCGAGATTAGACTCACCGAACAGCATCTCCCTCATCTTCGGGTTCCTGGGCGCTCTGATATCCGGTGCGGGGGAATGGTGAGCCGGAGCCGGTGATTGTGCCACCAGGAGCAACGCGCTGCATAAATGTAACCCCTGGTCAGCATACTGTATGTTCACCACCATGTACCCAATAGCCAATTCATACCTCGTTCTGATTCTGTGTCGCCACTGAGGGGAAGGATGATTCAAATTGGCCAATCTCCTCGACGGGCTCGTCACCTGCGCCGAGTAGGTCGTCCGTGCCTACGTTCTGGCCGCCGGCAACGTGGTCTTGAGAAGTAGCAAATTGGTCAGCGTCTTCACCGAGTGCAGCGCGTTCGCGGGCAAGGAAATCGTCATCGGTGGTGCTTTGAACATCGGCTACTTCGGTTTGGCCTAAATGCGGGTCATGTTAGCTCCGGTGTAAGGAGAGCAAGTAAGGTGGGTTGAGCATACCCTCAGAGAAGTCCTCTAGGGAAGGAAAACGGTCAGCCATGCTGGGAATGAATTGTTTTTGGCTGTTATATGATTGAGTAAAGAAGTTTGAGTCAAGAAGATGGTCGTGAGGAGAAGTCAAAAGGCCAGGAAGATGATGGTCATAGGAAGTAGTGTTGACAGGTGTGGCCGGGGCGGGCTCGGAGCCCCGTTGTTCTGCCGCTTCTGGGGCGGTAAGCTTATCCATGTTTCAAGCTTGGGGTACAAACCAGTTCAACTTCACTTGTAATGGAGAGGATTGAGAGTTGAGATCTTCGTTTGATATTCCTTTGGCTTTTCTCCAGTGACTTTACTTGATTGAAATTTAGTTGCAGTTCTAAAACTCACCAGTGATCTTCAATTGCTCCTTGCCTATTTGTCTTCCACGGTGATTGTGACTTGCGCTTCTTGGATCTGATAATTTCACTTCTCAGAAGCTCGCCGTCTAATTCAAGTTGCTATTTGTCATCATGGCTTTCACTGATGATGCTGTCAAAGCAAAGCTATCAGCTCTGAATGACTCACAGGAGAGCATCGTTACTGTTGCGCAATGGGTCATGTTCCACAGGTACACACACTTGCCTCGCCTTCAAAGAAACTTGCTAATTTTTTTATCTCTAACTAGACGTCATGCTGAGCGGACCGGACAAATATGGCTTCAAAAGATTCGCGACTCGCCACCTCCCAAGCGACTCAACCTGATTTACCTAGCCAATGGTACACATACCCTCCTACATCTGAGCTCTGCTCCACCTGCTAATTATATCTATAGAGGTGGCCCAGCAATCTAAAGTACGCGGAAAACATGATTTTCTCATTGCGCTATCTCCGGTTTGTCTCCTACCACCCCGCCATTGAAGCTTAAAAACTAACAGAACAATAGATAATCGTCGATGCTACATCAGCGGCTTACAAGGGCTCGTCGAATGAATACCAACAAAGGATCCGCCGAGTCGTGGAGGTCTGGAGACAACGCAATGTCTTTGACGGAGCTATTTTGGATGCAGTGGAAGCTCGCATAGATGGTAGGTCGAATCAATGGGCATGAGGGACCAGCCAAACTGATCATGTTGCAGAACTCGACAAAGCTCGTCCTACAAACAAGAAGCAAACCCTCGGAGGCTCCTTCTTCAAGGACACTTCTTCGGGATCCACTCCGTCCGAACTACAACCTCTCAACCCATTGCAGGTTGCTCTCACCAAGGCCGTCATCAACTCCAACAATTCTGCCACAACCGCTACTTCGGAGTTCGACAAGCTCCATGACCCCAAGACCCCAAAGCCTACACTGCCCGTTCATGCCGCACGTTTAAGTTCACTCTTGAAGACGCTTGCCAACGCAGAAAACTCCGTCTCCGAGGTAATCAAGTCGCGCCGCGCCTTAATCGATGGGCTCGAGAAGATCCTCCAGACCAACCGTGCAGAGCTATCGAAGGAGGAGGTCCTCAGCGCCGAGCTCTCACAGAAGAAAGCCTCGGTCGATACCAAAAAGCGGGAGGTCGAAGATGCCATTATGCGCGGTCTGCCCAGTGAAGAGTCCTCCACAAATCCCGGCGAACACAGCGGACGCGATGATTCATCTGCCCGCCCAGAAGTCGAAGCTTTGACACCTCCCCCGGTGGAAGCTATTACACCAGTGGGGTCCCCACAGCCAGAAAAGCAGCAGCTCCGCCACGGCCCTTTTACCGAAGAGGCGGACGACGACACCTTAGAATGGAACCCCATGAACATCCCCAACATTCAGGAGTCAGGCAACGGGACTGCCATCACTGATCAATCCACTGCTATTTCTCCGGACCATGACAATGACTTCGATATTACTGCCGATGGCCATGCAAAGAGGCGCAAGATCTCGCATGGCGAGGAGGACTATGCGGCTTTTGCAGGCGGCGACCTAGATGCTGATGTGGCTGACCTGCTTGCCAGTCAGGGTAAACAGTAAGTGGGCTTGACATATGGTCAACGGCAAATGTCACCTTGATAATTTATGTGCAGCGGCTGCCCTTGTTTGGTGTAATTTATTCATTTCTTTTCTATTCTATCGGCTGCCTCTTAGGCATTCTTGTTTCGGCTTATGTTGGATATCATTTATTTTCGTGTATGAAGTAACTAAATGTATGAGTTGGAGGATGTAACACAAAAGTAGATGGCCGGTTATGCGGCCTTGCGATATATTTTCAGCAGTCTTTTTAGATGTCTTTTTTAATATATATTTTCTCCTCCTCAGTTTTATAGGTAGACAGCAAAAAGAAGTGGCTTTGACTTTTCCGTTGAAAACCAAAGGGCCCACTGGCTCAAACATATGCAGTAATTGTAGCTAATATACCAATCGGTAAGCGTTGATAAAAAAAATCTATACCGTATCCTGTCGAATATGTAAAATATATGGTTGAGGCTCCCCTGCTCGTCCTTGTTCGCAGATGTAAGCCATGTTTTCTCCCTGTTCCCGGAAAATGTTGTAGATTCAGCTATATTAACACATAATGACCAGGTCACACCCGGCTGGAACATCCATATACATCGTGTCTAGGGCCTATTTACTTGCGAAAACTAAGCAACTACAGTAAATATCGATATGTAAAGGGAATTCCTGCTCTTCTGGTCACATTAACTATGAACCAATGCTAATTGAAAAAAAGACGTCATCGAAGTATATCCGGATCCAACCACCGATCTCGCGCGAAGCGGTTCGACAACTGATGCCTTCGCCCCCGATATGCCAACACAGAGCGGATATTGTTTGAAGATTCATCCTCTGGGGGTGTAGGTGGTGGCGCTGAACTGCCCCCTTTGGTTTCACAACCAGTACAATGATCATCCCCACCACGATCAGGAGGAGCAATAGCATGATCTTGCGCTTGGTGGTTCGTTTTTGATAACCCGTAGCCTATATGAGTTAGTTTCTCGTTCTAGCGATATCCAATAGAAATTGGAAGGGGGCAAGGGGGAAGAGAAATTGCCGGTAAAGACGGAACATACCACTTTAAGCTCCTTGTCCGCAGCTTTAACCTCGGTGCCCATTCGCTCGACGTTGTAATCTATACGGTCCAACATGGTTCCTTGGTCGATTATCATGCTCTGCAGTTCACGGAATATATCCGAGAGCTCAATAATTCCTTTTGCGATATCGTTGATTTCGCGCTCCCGCTGCGCAATAGCAGCATCGTTATGGCCGGTCTGCCGTTGCGAGGTCTGCTGCAACATCGTCTGCGAAAAGGACCTGTCGGCATCTGACTCCATCATCGACGGATCCGTGTATGGGTTCTGGGCTTGGGTAGGCGTGCCATCGAAGGGCGTCGCGATACCCTCGAGATCTCGTAATTCTGCACAACAAATCACCGCATTAGCATATCTGAACCAACCGATTCCGTCTCCCCAGCGGGAAGAGAGCAAGAAAGACACAAAAGAGGAAGGGTCCCATACTCCGCAAGTAAGTACTCTGCTTCTTCCTAAACCTGGCACTAGCCTCCTGCACCCTGGCAGCAAGCGAGATCTGAATATTCTTCGCCATAGTCTCCTCCCCACTCGTAACACCACCGTGCGCCTTGGACTCGCCCACCATAGTCTCGATGCGCATGATAGCGCGCTGGCAATTATGAAAGGAGCGCGTGACATCCTGCGTCAAGCGCTCGATAAAGCCCTCATCCTGCTTGCGCAGGTCCTCGTCACCGAAGCCGGGAAGCAGGTGTTTCTGATGTAGTTTGTCGAGCTGGGCGGAGTTCTGGGCGATCTTGGATAACAGTTCGGAGACCTCTTCCTGCACGTCAACCCAGCGGGGCGGGAGGAGGTCCATCTCGATGAACATGTCACCATCTTCGTCTGTTTCGGGTATTAGGTGCCTGTTTTCCTCCGGGTGCGAGGGTGTGTCGGAGAAGTCATTTGGTGTGAAGTGTGGCTTTTTGGCTGGGTGGTGGATTAGGGATTGGCGGTAGGAGAGGTAGCTGGATTTGGTGGAGTGTTAGTTGTTATGTCTTGTAGGCTGGGCTTTATAGTATTTCTTTTCTTTTTTTTTTGGTCTCTTTCCGGCGCTGACGGGTTGCGCCTGGGGTAGGGTATATTGGGGTTGCATACAGGTTGGTGCGATCCCGCCACATTGTGAGGGCGTTGGAGGAATGCAGTTGTTTTGGGGTTTATTTTGGTGAGGTTACAGGAACCATGATCAGATGCGAGTGTTTGGGATTGAATTGCAGGGAGCTCCCCACACGGAAGGGGTCACGTATGCCCAGGTATCCATCATGTAATCTGTGGTTTTGTCCACGTGGGGGTAATTTTGGTATGGGTAAGGCAGGTTCAAGACCTATACATATTTCTACATATTCTCCGGTATTGAAAAGATGTCTTCAAATATTATCACTGTAAATGGCTTGGTGCTCAATGGCACATTGGATTTTCGAGTAACACATATCAACCTAAATAGGTATATGGATGCTCTCAAATGCAAATTCGACGGTTAACAGAGTTGAAGAACAGCTATATTCTGTGAAGGCTATTATATGTCAAATGCTGTATAGTCTGTTTGGTTCTAGATCTACTAGTATAAATCCACCCCACAGTCTACAGCAACCCTACGAAGTAGGATAGGACTAAAAGATAAAAAAGAAATCAAAAAACAAAAGCCAAGACCTTCCTAATGTGATTAGGCTTCATGGCTCTCTGCATACTACCAGCATAGCCCTGGAGCCCCGAGACCAAGCTTTCTTGAGATTAGATTGGGATCATATATTCCGTAAGATGTAAGAAATATAGTAGATACCTTGGAAAGAAGTCTATGCAGATCAAAACATAAAGCTCAAAGAAAACCAGATGTCCACTGTGGCAACATTTCAGCCCATTCAGCCCTGGGAGGGTCCTACCGCCCTGAGATGAAACGACGCTGACTGGGCACCTCAGGCACGCTATTTTGGTCTCGTAAGGCTGTTCCCCTTTAACCCTCTTCTTCATTTGACCCCTCCCTTACTTTGTACTTTCCCATCTACATTCATCATGGTATGTCTCTGATCCCCAAGCTTATCTTCCAGATTCCCATGTTGTGTTGTCGAAAATAAAACCCCCACATTGCGGGGCATCATTTGAACCTCACTGACCATCGCATTCTCTAGGCTGATTCCCTCACCGAAGAGCAAGTGTCCGAGTACAAGGAGGCCTTCTCCCTGTTTGTAAGTGGCTCCATATACAATTTGCCACCGTGATAGAAAACATGCTGACCACGAGTTTGTTTGGCGAAATAGGACAAGGATGGCGATGGTACGTGTGGTTGCGCCCGACAGCTCGGTTGAGCCCACAGCAGTGTCCTCTGCTGTCGAATCTGAAAAGAAAATCATTCTAACATACAATCCTACCAACAGGACAAATCACCACCAAGGAGCTTGGCACCGTCATGCGCTCGCTGGGCCAGAACCCCTCCGAGTCCGAACTGCAGGATATGATCAACGAGGTTGACGCCGACAACAACGGCACCATTGACTTCCCCGGTACCTACCCATCCCCCACTAGTATAAATGAGAGACGGCTATTGACGTGCGCTAGAATTTCTCACCATGATGGCTCGTAAGATGAAGGATACCGATTCCGAGGAGGAGATCCGTGAGGCATTCAAGGTCTTCGATCGCGATAACAACGGTTTCATTTCCGCCGCCGAGCTGCGCCACGTTATGACTTCCATCGGTGAGAAACTGACCGACGACGAGGTTGACGAGATGATCCGCGAGGCGGACCAGGATGGCGATGGCCGGATCGACTGTATGTTTTGGAAACAATCTTGGAGCCTACCGGCACTTGCCTTCCCAAATGCTAACCTATCCATCTCTATACAGACAACGAGTTCGTCCAGCTCATGATGCAAAAATAAACGACGCATTCGCACCGTGCGCCTTTTTCCATGTTAGCTGACGTCGCGGTTTTTTTAACGAGAATGTTTCTCTTTTCAATTTTCCAATACCGATTTCCTGTAGTCTATGCTAGGCTATACATCTTGGATGATTTACGATCAAGCGTGTGCTTTGAAATGCAGACGGAATGGGCTGGGCGGTACTTTGGGTCAAGTGTTCATAATATAGGAATGATGGCGCTCTCCCTATAAGCCTAACAGTGCTGGGCTTGTTTCAACGTCGCCACCTTGTTAGCCAGCCATGTCCACAAAACCCCGTAGCAAGCGTATAAGAAATAACTATCCATCCATACCAAATCCCAACAATTTGAGCATCCAACTATCGATTAAACCTCAAAACCTCCATAAACTGCCTCGCAACATCTGCCCCAGACCACGGATCAGGATCATCCTCAGCACGCTCACCAACCACAGAGCCAACCTCATCAACATTAGTATCAACCCTAGCATCAAGCCCAGACCCAGCCTCCTTCCACCTCCTCAATCGATCCTTGACCTCCCTCCCAACATTCGGAATCAGAATCGCCTCCCGAGCCTCAACACCCAATCTCCCCCAAAACTCTCGAATCAGTGATGCAGTCGCCGCATATTCCGCATCGATATCCGACTCCTCAATCGCAGAGCTAGCGAGGTCGATACCCGCAGCCCCAATATCCACATCATCATCACCGCCAGCACCAACGCCAGCACCAACGCCAGCTCCAACACCAGCACCAAATGAACCATCCTCCCGGTCCACAGGAATCGCCTCCACAACTGACGGACCGCGCCATTCAATCTCAATGACCGTTCCACGCACCCGCGCTGTCGGGAACGTCTGCCGCACGTCACCAAGACGCACACGGAAGTCACCAACCTCATAGACGATCCCGTTTGGGACAGCTAGCGTGAGCCGGTGGGCCCAGAAGGGTTGACAAGCGTAGGTGAAATGCTGGAAGAGAGTTCCGTATGACGAAGGGGGAACAGTTGTCATGACCATTGGCGGGGAAGGGGAGTGGTCCGGCGCGATGCCATTTACGGGACCAGGTGCGCCTGTTGTATTTTGGGGTTGGTTTTGGCTTGGTGCTGGGGCTGGTTTCTCAGCCTCTGAGGTGTAGATGAAGCCGTGCGTTGGGTAGTGGGTTAATGAGAGGAATTGCATGTAACGGGGGTTTAGGGGTTTCTTGTTTGAGTTTGAGGAGGCGGGGAGCAGGCCTGGAGTGTCGCGGAGGAGCTTTTGTTCCAGACCCCAGCGGCCGATTGGAGTTAGTTCTTCATTTGGGAAGGCGGCGCGGAGGCGCTCTGTTACTAATTGGAGGGCTGTTGAGGCATTTGGGTTTGAAGGGATGAAGTAGACACTTTGTGGTGTTAGTTTGGGGGGGGTTTGTATTAGATTGGCAGAGGGGATTTACCCTGTGATAGGCATTTTTTATGTTTGTTTCCTTCTTATATTGTGGCGGACGCAAAAGAAGTTGGACTGATGGTCACAGCAGTGAGCTGTGGGGTATCAACTGGGAAATTGATGAGTTGAAAAGATGGCGGTGATGAGTTTCCAAGTAGTCTTCAGTCCTGCTGGAGATTGATTTAGGGAATCTGTAGCAGGTAGCGACCATGCAATATAGATATAGAGATCGATAAGAATGATGATCAAGTTCAGTGCCAAGAGAATGACAAAAGAGGAGTCCTAAACAGACTTGGAGCTTTTCAATCTATACATTTTGATTAGTATAAGTATTGACTAGGAGAAGAATCCGGTACCTTTTGACAATTCAATGTTTCTCTTATGATGTTGTTCTGGAGAATTGACGATTCTCCAGATGAAAGCCATAAATGCAAACAGTGCAAACATCTACTCAACTTCAAACCAAATCTTCCTGCTTTTGATAATTCCAAAGTTTCTTTAATGGCAATATTTCAAGATTGCAATATTGCAGTTGGACTTCTAATGATGAAATTTTTTTTTTTTTTCCTTTTTAGCTCTCGAAGATATTATACTCGAAAGTTCAGCCTTATGGTGAGCCTCTCTTCTCAATACCAATCCCTTTGGCCCCATCCCAAAGCAGACAATGGTATCTAAAGTAGACAATGGGACCCAAAGGTAGACAATGATATCCAAAGGTACGTATGTAGACAATGGTATCAATGCTATTAATACTCCAATATTGTCGCTTTGCATGTTACTATCCGATCTGAACAAGATTAATTGAGAGTCAGGGGGGTCTCAGAAAGCACAGCCCTGAGAGACACTTTTATTGGTCTAGACTTGACCATACTCTAATAATATATATATAGGATTGGACCCTGGCAGTCCCTTATTGCGTGGCCTGGTGTGAAAGGGGTGACATTCTCAAATTGCACCAATCATCATTTGACCCTGTGCATCATCCATGCCTTCTAAAAGCCACCAAGGACGATCAATGGAGCTCCAACTCGGCCGTGTCTCCCCTTCGCAGAGACCTCTCAGAATCCATGACATGCCCGCATTGTGTAAAAATGTCTCCATTTTCCTCCTTTGGCTACTCCAACTCTCACATTATTCTCTAGACATGTCGACCTTTGCTGGTCTCTCGAATTGAACTTGTACATCACTCCTTCTTTGGGCTTATGACCGTTCTTTTGTTACTTTTTGTTTTGCACCCCCTACTCCATTATGTATAACAAACGCAAAAACCGACCTCTATTAACAGCCATTTTCCTGATTATCGCGACATACTTTTTTTTCTTCTGGCTGCCTAGTACAAAAACACACCGAGTTCGCCTACCAAAGCCAATCTCTAGAAAAGACAGCACCATTCGGGAAGATGCCATTCGACTAGATAAAGTCACCGAGAGATTTCCCGTTACGGAGTACATCCCACTGCCAAAAGGTTCGGCGAAAATCCCCCGCATCCAGCATAAATTTCCCAAAGAAACCAGCAGCGAGCGCAAGGCCAGACTCGAGAAGCGCGATGCTGTGAAGGAGGCGTTTCTTCATTCATGGAATGGATATAAGGATCATGCGTGGATGCGAGACGAGGTGAAACCCCGCACTGGAGGGTACCAGGATTCATTCAATGGCTGGGGTGCCACGCTTGTTGATTCGCTAGATGCGCTTGTGATTATGGGACTGGACGATGAGCTACAGCTGGCTCTGGAGGCTCTGGAGGAAATCGACTTTACAACGACTAAGAGCAGGCATGTTCCTTTGTTTGAGATCGTCATTCGCTATATGGGTGGCTTTATTGCTGCCCATGACCTCACCAAGGGCAAACACCCTATTCTACTGAGGAAGGCTGTCGAACTGGGTGAGATGATTTTCAATGCGTTTGACACGCATAATCGCATGCCCCAACTGTACTGGGAGTGGACTAGGTATGCCAAAATATACAATATCCAATGAGAACTTGAGACTGATAATACCCAGGTCCGCCCAAGGCAAAGAAATCACACCATCTTCACGCACAAGCTTAGCGGAAATGGGCTCCTTGACAATGGAATTCACTCGTCTGACCCAATTGACCGGTGACCCTAAGTACTACGATGCCGTGCAGCGAATTATGAACGAGCTCCAGATCGGACAAGACAAGACCCGGATGCCTGGGTTGTGGCCGACATGGATTAACACCGACCTAATGAAGTTTGATGACTCCGAGTTCACCGTCGGCGGGGCTGCCGATTCTGCGTACGAGTACTTGCCCAAAGAACACATTCTCCTAGGCGCACAGACGGACAAATATCACCGGATGTACGAAAAGGCCATTAAAACATTTAACGAGAATCTGCTGTTCAGAGGAATGACCCAGGACGCGGACCAGCACATTCTTTTCGCCGCCAACGCCGTTGCACAGTGGGGTGACTCGAAGACCCTCCAGTATGCGCCTGACCATCTCAAGTGTTTCATGGGTGGCACCGTGGCTATTGGGGCCAAGGTCTTCAATCGGCCGGAGGATATGTATGTTGCCCGGGGACTTACCGACGGCTGTGTCTGGGCATATGATGTTATGCCTACGGGGATTATGCCGGAGATATTCAAGGTCAGCCCTTGCAAGGACATGGACGAGTGTCCGTGGGATGAAGAGCAGTGGATGTCGGATGTCATGTCGCGGTCTATTGATACCGAGGAGGACCGCGAGAAAGCGAGGGTCCGCATTGAGGCTGAGAGTCTACCACCAGGTGTGACTAGTGTTCGAGACGCATCATACAAGCTTAGGTACGGGTTTATCTCATCTCTCGTGTTGCAACTCACTAACATAATATCCGTCTAGACCAGAAGCTCTCGAGTCCCTGTTCGTCATGTACCGGATTACTGGAGATAAGACTCTTCAGGACTCCGCGTGGCGCATGTTTCAGAACATTGATAAGGCGACTCGGACTAATTTTGGCCATTCATCTATCAACGATGTGCGTAATTCGAACCCAAAACACCAGGACAAAATGGAGAGCTTTTGGCTTGCAGAGACTTTGAAGTACCTCTATCTCATCTTTTCTGAGCCAAATCATATCAGTTTGGACGACTATGTGCTGTATGTTTGCACCGAGCTGTGTTTATCCTGTCTTCATGCGCTAATAATTCTCTTTTCAGGAGCACCGAAGCCCATCCTTTCAAGCGGCCAAAGAACTGAAGCGTTATAACATTGAGATTCTGTGTACATCTTTTATCATCAGCAATTTTCGATTTGATCCGACAGGACCGGCGTTACAGGCATTATATTATGACTTTCAATATCATACACAGCATCAACTTCCTCCACAGGCGCCATAGCAAAAGATATCCCAATCCCCGATTTATCTATGCAAGGAGCCATAATACAAAAAATAAAATTATACATAAGCAGAAACATCAACAGAATTAACCTTCAAATCCTCGTCCTCCCGCCTCCTCAGCGCCGCTTCATCCTCATATTGAATCGAGTACCGAACCTCCTTATGGATAACCATTCTATCCTCCCCATCCCCTTGCTCGGTCGCAACACTCGCATGTCTAGTATGCGACCTTGGCATAAGTTCAATTAAATCTGATGCCATTGAAAAGGACCCCACAGACCCAGCCCTCACACCATTCTTCCCCTTTTCCATCTTCTGTAATCTCTGCTTCTTGCGCGGCGGGCTAAGTGGGAACATCGACCGACGCATTGGCGCAAGCACGGTAGGGGACCTACCACTATCCCCATCCCTTCGATTATTTCCAAGTGCTCCGCGCGCATGGGGAGTGGTATCAACACACAACGGAGGACCCTGACTCGGCCCCTGAGTCTCTGAGTGTCGCAATCCAGAACCAGAACCACTAATGACCGGAGTAACGAGAGGCCATGACCCTGTACTTGCTATTTTTCTCTGTATGCGAGAATGCGACATGGATCTTGAAGCGGTATCCGATCTCGATCTCGTGCCTGACCCAGACCCAGACGCGGTCTTCGAGCCTTCTTTCGTGCCGTTTGATCTTGACGCGCTACTTTCCAGCGTCGAGTCACCGGCTGTACCGTAGTTCGTGCTGACGGCTGCCATAAAGGGTCGGAGACAGAATACACTGCATGCGACTAGGGCGTAGTGGAGCTCGACTTGCATCCAAACTGTTGGTTCGACGGCGGCGAGGGTTGTGTCTTCGTTGTTTAGAGCAGTATGGAGGGTTGAGATGTGGACCAAAGAGAAGATTATGAGACTGGGATTGTGCGGTCAGGTTTGAGATCGGGGATGCGGATGTGAATGCGGATGCGGATTACTCACGGAAAGCGGAATATAAATGCGAAGCCGACGGCTAGTTTGCGGCGAACGGACATGAAGAGGCCTTTTAGGAGGATCACAGCGAGGAGGAAGAGGAGGAGCTCGGTTATAACGTCGACTGCTGCGATGAATTGCCATCGTATGTACTATTTTTGCGAGATGAGAGATGGCTTCAGGGGAGTTGATGCATGGTAGATCATTGGTGGTTTTACATACCAAGTTGTGGCATTGGCCGCTGTCATTCCTCCAGGGAGTGTTTAGCTCACAGTTGACTAGGACAATGAATATAGCCGGGATAACCCAGGCAGTACACAGAGCTAGTGTTGCCCAAGATGCGCGGTTATGTGGTTTCTGTGGCGTGAGGCGGAGGTAGATCGCCACGACACAGCATTTGGAGAGATAGATGATTATCAGCGCGATGATATCGCTTGTTGCAATTAACTAGGTAGCTGCTCAGTTTGGTTCCATTGATACAAAGCAATAGAATATGAAATGGCAACTTACAGCCTGGATTTGATCGAGTCGACCATCCTTCAATAACGATGTAGAAGTCCCGAATCCGCGCGAGCATGCATAAAAGACGAGACTTGATTGCACCACAGCGACAGCCTATGCAGTAATTTAAACAACATGTTAGCCGTGTGCTCAAGCAACCCATCCAACCTAACTCGACTCTTCAAGCCCCAACTCACCGTAGCACCCAACAGAACCCAATCATCGCGCGCAAACGGCGGAATCAGCATGAGCCGCACATACACCCGAATCAAGAAACATGCCAGGGACACAACCAATCCCATAGCAGCAGTGATTATCACCCACGCGCCATGGTGCAAGTCATCGACGACCTCGAAGGGCGGCGACTGGCCTGGCGGCACATACGGGCCCATGGCAGTGGGGGGGAGCAGTAGCCCCAGCAAACAGCGGACTCTAGACAAGTATTCTTCTCGGGGTTATCATTTATATCATGTGGGTGGATATAATGCAGTCTTATTTGTAATGGCTTATCAACACAGACACAGAAACGACGGTGCAAGGCTGTCAGATCTGGCAGCCATGTGGGCTGGATGGCAGGACGGGAATAAATTGAAGAAGGGGTTTGATTTGAGACGCTCGGATACGTTGTATAGAAAAGCGGAAGCAGGAGGTATGTAGGCGTCAAGGCAATGCGATAACGATTGAGCTATGTTCCGTTTCTGCTATGCAATTGTGATTGTTTCTGCCTTGGGGGATCATATGCCGATACCCGATAGAAACATGGACTATCGAGTCCAGGCATATACGTCAGTCGGGCTGGTGGGATTCGTTCGATATACCATACTGGAGGGTGTACATTTGGATGCGCATGGCCGGTTTATCCCTTTCTTCCGTTGGAGAGTGGAAATGATGCCAATTATTATGATTTTTGGTGTAAGTTTAGGTCATTTGGTTGGAATGATGATCTGCCTCCTCTCCCTCACGTCAAACGTCAAACTTTGTGGTAGGACGGAGTACGTCCGTTGTGGGTGCGCTGCTCTAGGGCATGGCGGCCCGCTGTAGGGTCGTCGATCAGCATGCACCCTTGAGAATCAGGCTATGGGTCTTTACGAGGTAGTCATCCGATAGGCCAGGTGGCTTGCTTTTGAGCAAATAAAGCGAGGGGCTTATGCATTCACCCGCCATTTCGAGACATGAAGTGTGGCGGAATTGTCTGGAGGATGGGCATCAAAGGGATGTGCGACCGGGATTAATATGGTTAGAGGGTTAGCGCGAGTGATGCATCAAGAATGGATCGGGTGGTGGTGCCGCGTTCAAGGGATTAGGATTGTTTATATCTCGAACTTTGCGTTGTCTCTCATTTTGGTGACTTCTAAGAGAGAAACAAGTCATTATGTTCTGTACAATTGCACTAAAATTTGAGGATTTAAAGTAGAGTTACAACCCCAACAGTCAGTCCAGACATCAATATCTCCCAAGTTCAAAGATGCTAGATCGACAAACCCCCCTTGGGCATGCAAGGATTGGGATCCCATTCCGGGCAAAGAGTCAAGGGATAATAAACCCCAAAAATAAGTTTCAACAATCCCATTCCCAATTAGATTTAATGCAGCACCTTCTATCAAACAACGATGTATCATTCGGATTGCTGCTTAGGTGTTTCGAGGGGTTGTTCTCTCCCACATGGCGCCCGAGAATGTTCTCAAGCCATGCCTTGCTCCCACGTCGATACCACGCTTCGATCCCTGAAACTCAGTGGTTATGATTCCAGTCCTTTGAGTTTTCTCCTAATACCTCCTCCTTTTGGTTACTGCCTTTTTTTTTGTTGGCTTTATTAGAGGTTGCTTTTGTCGGGAGCTTTTATACTTCGTATCCTAGATTCTTCGGGGCGTCGAGTTGCCAGGTGATATAGGCTTTTGTTTTTATTCTCGCAACCCCCTGTTTTCTTGCGGGGAATTCTTTGTCTCATCTTCGGTATATTTCAATCTAGTCGTTTAGTTACGCGCGCAATCATGACGATCTCAGGCAAGTCCAGGCCTGACTCGCAGCAGACGATGACTGTCCTTGAGGACGACGAGGGGTATGAGCAGAAAGGCCTTGTTGAGCCTCGGTATATGGGCACGCTGGCAGATCGGCGTGATATGAATGCTCTTGGTCGAGTGCAGGTTCTCCGAGTAAGTTGCTTTTCTCTTGTTATTTCGGTTGTGTTGGTCTTGTTAACATCACGAAGAGAAACTTTCGGTTTATCTCTATTGTTGGGTTTGGATGCACATTGATCTGCACATGGGAAGTTATCTTGACGTACGTGCTACTCCCTGCATACAGTGATCATGCAGACCACTGACTCCATTAATAGATTGCTGGCGGCTGGCTTGACCGATGGCGGTACCGCGGGCTTGATATGGGGGTTCATCGGCGTTTCACTCGGGTTTACCCTTGTCTATGCCAGTATTGCTGAGATGGCCTCGATGTATGTGACTGATAGCTTTCTTCCACTGGCTAGATCGCCGCTAATCAATCGAATAGGGCCCCCACTGCTGGTGGTCAGTATCATTGGGTGTCGGAGTTCGCACCAAAGAGAGGACAAAAGTACCTCAGCTATATCACAGGTAACATAACTAACCCCTGTCTGAGTCTAACTAGCTAACATAACATCTCAGGATGGCTTTCTGCAATGGGGTGGCAATGCGCCATCGTGTCCATCGCCTACCTTGCTGGCACAATCATTCAAGGCTTGATCGTCTTGAATCGGCCAGATTATGACTTCCAGAGATGGCATGGCACCATGCTCGTAATTGCCATCTCGACATTCTCAATTTTATTCAATACCTTCCTAGCCAAGAATCTTCCCTTCGTGGAAGGATTGATCTTGATCATCCATGTTGTTGGCCTGTTCGCCATCATCATTCCATTGTGGGTACTCGCACCACGCAACAATGCCCGCGCAGTTTTCACAACGTTCAACAACGGGGGCGGCTGGGATAGCCCTGGGACAGCAACACTAGTCGGCTTGTCTACTACCATAACATCCATGCTTGGTTATGATTGCTCGGTTCATATGTGTAAGAAAGAGCTTTATAAATAACCTTAAGACCTGGTACATCATGCTGACTTTCAAAAGCCGAAGAAATCAAAGACGCATCAGAAACACTCCCAAAGGCAATGATGACCTCTGTCGCCGTAAACGGCGTGTTGGGACTTATCATGTTGGTCACACTGTGCTTCACACTAGGCGATATCGACAGTGTGCTCGATACCCCGACGAGATTCCCGTTTATCCAGATATTTTACAATACCACAGGTAGCATCGCTGCGACAAACGCCATGACGTCCGTTCTGGTAGTGACGCTAACCGCCAGCACAATTACTGAAGTGGCAACAGCATCGCGCCAGCTCTGGTCGTTTGCCCGGGACGAGGGGCTGCCATGTTCGTCGTTTTTCGCATATGTAAGTCACGTCTTCTCCCTGTTCTAGCCCCTACATGACCAGAAACAAGACTTGTTGATTCAGCTATATTAACATGTAACCACCAGGTCGCACCAGGCTGGAACATCCCCATCAACTCCGTGATGGTGTCTCTAGTCATCACAGTGCTACTATCGATGATCAACATTGGGTCGCAGGTTGCTCTTAACGCGGTCATCTCGCTCACCATCACATCCTTGTTGTCCGCGTATATCATCTCGATCGGGTGTGTATTTCTGAAACGTGTTCGGGGCGAGCCACTCCCACACCACCGGTGGTCACTTGGGAAATATGGCATGGCGGTGAATCTTGGGGCGTTGGCGTTCCTCTGTCCGATTTTCGTCTTTGCGTTCTTTCCCCTGTCGACGGGTGTTACCGTTGAAACAATGAACTGGAGCGTGGCGATGTATGTTGGCATCATTGGATCTGCGTCGATTTATTACGTGGTTTGGGGAAGACATCATTTTATTCCGCCTGTGGCCTTGGTTCAGAGGGATGAAAATAATTAAGGTGGCGTTTGGTTTGGTTGGATTGGAGTGTTTTGTCTTTTTTCTTCCCTGTTATTATTTTTCTGTCTATGTTTTGGCTGCTGGGGGATTGTGTATTTAGATGATGTGATGACATGACGTACTCCATATATAGTCACGATCTTGAGATTATGCTGTTATTACTTCGTATCTTTAAGTACCATTATTCTGTCATATTCGAAGACCAGTCTATATGGTACAATAATGAGGCGGCCACCCCTATTCGCGTTGATAGTTACTCGATTGAGAAGTCTCGGAGACTTCCAAGAGCACGGGGTCGATCATTCAGCCGGTCATCGGCAAAATTAAGTTATCAGATGGAACCCGTCAGCCCAAGGTTTCTTCCCCTGAAACACCAAGGCCACACTAAGTTGTACGTAAAGCCCAAAGCCCAGCATTCTTACTCGGCATGACAAAGAAGATAGAGTGGATGCAACAATAGCCCAAATGCAGTGCCATTAGTACGCGCCAAAAGTCCCGGAGATGAGCTATCTGTCAAGGAGTTAGCTCGCAATAACGGCAGAGAGTGGTTTCAAGCTATCTGTTATTATCGAATCAATGACCAGCCCATTAGTGAATCTTCTAGGCTGAAAGCGTCAGAGGTGATCTTTTTTGTTTACAACACCGAGTACCGAGTACTCTTTTTCTAGAACGTCCTCCGACCCACTGATTGATCTCGGCCTGGCATCCCCACTTTTGACCAAATGGTTGGGAAATTGATTTACCGAGCGTTAGGGAGATATAAGCTAGCGGAGGTGGAGGGAGCTGTGATGGGCCAACGGAATACACAAGATTGGCCCGGCTGGTCGGAAAGTGGGGTTCTATAGAGATCCATTTTGTAATGGGATTTTGATAACATAAGTACATACCCCCTTTCCAGGATCTCCCCGGTATAGAACATATGCTGACATGTGGAGTGAAGGTGAAGACGGAAATCCCAATTTTGATAGGTAAGGTTATCAGATCAGATGACATAAAAACCCCCCGAGGTCGGAAGGCGGACAAATCCGCCTATCTGATTGATCTGATAACCGAGGTACTAGTAATATGTATGGTACTGTAATGTTACGTACATTACAATTTTCAATTCAACATTTTCTATCGGCCCACCTCGGAACATACTTTTTTTTTCTAATTGCTGTTACAGTATCCCTGTAGAACCCCTGTACAACGGAAGTTGTAGGTTATATACAATAATTTAGATTGCAATCGTCTGACATCTTACTATAGTCATTCCGGGCTAGTTAACAGCCGATCGGTACTTCTCCTCGGCTGTCCCCAACGCCACTGAATACGTGTAAAATACAAGTTCATCTTCATATGCACTGTCGATCTGAATGGATACGATAGCTCGAAATGGAGTCAGCGCCATATCCAGTAGTCGAGTCCTTATTACTGCTGACAATCAAGATCAACATTCAAGATCCTATATATTCTAGCTTCTAGCTCTTCATAAAATATTGCCGGAACCAAACATACCCGGTGACGAAGAATGTGGCGAATCTGATAAATCCCTGTTCTGTTTCTGATCAACGCTTGAGACCCTGTATTTCTCATTCTCATACCGTTATTTTCGCTTTCCCGAATCTCTGTACGGAACTATCGTCCCGACCATTCTTCGGGTCCACGCTCTTCCTCCTCATCCCACTCTTCTGTTCTGTTTCCATGCTTCATAGAAAGCAAAAAAAGGGGGTTCTACCACGTTACTTAGCATCACGTCTCGACTCATACACACCGGTCTTTCCTTGTTGCGCCGACTTTTGTGCAACTTTTTAGTGACTCCCAACACCTCTCTAAATTTCCTCATGGGTATGCAGAGAACAGTCAATCCCAATCCACTCGTTTGAGACTCACATTCTGATCTATTAATTTAGTTCACGCCGTTCAATCCGTCATGCCGTCGGCGACTTATGCTCCAACGGGGTCTCGCCCCCGCAGAGGCACTTATCAAGAAATCCCAGTGTCCTCGACCTCCCACCCAGATAACCCAATTCCGGAAGAGCCTCGAGGTGTGCGTTCGCTCTCAGTGACCGACACCACTTTCAATGTTATCTCCTCGGACTCCTCCCAGGGCACTTCATCGAGCGGCTCAAATTCCCCCAATACCCCTCTGACACCACCCACCGAGTCCCAATCGGAGGAAGAAAATGCAGAAAAGGTCGAGGGTGGTCGGCAACGGCGACGAGCATCCACTGTCCTCATCTCACAGAACGCGGACGATATGCGAAGGGTATTGCAAAATGTGGGCACAGCAGGCACTCAGAAGCTTCAATCCCTCTGCTGTGGTGGGGGTTGTTGCCGAGGACAGGCATTGCGCCCTGTAGATGGACCCATCTCAGGCTTCAATTCTATCGTTGGGCCTATCGGCAACAAGGCCTTTGATAGCCTCAAGCTGAAGCTCGATCTCCTCACCATGGACAGTGAGCTTTCCAACATTGCCCCGCTCCCAGAGAAGACCGTTTCGTTCAAGCCGATCCCCGCATCGGCCGTCGAAATGACATTTGGCCCCGCAGACCACCCGCCGGAATTCGTGCAGCCTCACCCACCTTACCAAGTCTACCGTGCGCCTCTGTTCCACACCCGTGAGTTGACAGGGCCCGGCGCCGAGAAACGCACGTATCACTTTGATATCGATGTCACAGACTACCCCGCCGAAAGTGGGATGGTCGACTTCGTAGTCGGCGGCGCAATTGGCGTGTGCCCCAAGAACAAAGACTCCGAAGTCGAAGAGGTGTTCAACCTCCTAGGTGTGCCAAAGTCCATGCGTGACAAGAAAGTCCTCATGCGCACAACCAAGGGCCGTTGGCCGACAATCTGGGGTGACGACAAGCCGCGCGAGCTCATCGCTACCCGGCGCGAAGTCCTTAGTTGGTGCTCCGACATCCAGAGTTACGCCCCAACAAAGCCACTCTTCCGCCTTCTCGCCGAGTACACAAGCGAGCCAAACGAGAAGAAAATCCTTGAATATCTCTCCTCAGCCCAAGGTCAAGGCGCCTTCTGCGACATTCGCACAAGCTCCTTCGTCTCCCTCACCCAGCTCCTAACCGCCTTCCCAAGCTCCCAACCACCCCTCGACCACCTCCTCTCCGTCCTCAACACACTCATGCCCCGCTTCTACTCCCTCTCCCAAGACCCCCAGATCTCCTGTCAATACAAGGGCACCGAATGCCGACGTTTAATCGAGGTTGCCGTCACAGTCGCCGAATCCGATGACTGGCGCGGCGGGTCCCGCACAGGCGTAGGGTCCGGGTATCTGGAGTCTCTTGCGCAGCGAGCGATTGCCGCTGAAGCCGCCGGCGAGAAACTCGATCTCCACGTACCCATGTTCCGCGGACTGATGGCAAACCCGCTCGCGACGCGCTTTGCCTCAGATGGCCCGATGCTGCTCATCGGCGCGGGCGTTGGCATCGCGCCTTTCCGCGGCTTTGTGCAGCGCCGTTTGCAGTCGGCAAACTGCGCCAATAAGGTCTGGGTGCTGCAGGGCGTGCGCGACTCGCTGCTCGACGAGCTTTACTCGGGCGAGTGGGGCGTGCACGAGGATAAGGTGCGCACAGTTGTGCAGAGCCGTAGGGGCGAGAGTCGCTATGTTCAGGAGGAGGTTAGACACCAGGCTGATCTTGTTTGGTTTGTTATCAACTCGCTGGATGGTCGTGTCTTTGTTTGTGGCTCGGGCAAGGGTATGGGTGAAGGTGTTGAGGCTGCTCTTATTGAGGTTGCTATGGCCAAGGGCAATCTCAATGCTCAAGAGGCCGATATGTTCTGGCAGCGGAAGAAGGAGGCTGGACAGTACATCGCTGTAAGTTTTGATGCGTTTTTGATCTTTCAGGGGGCTATGCTGACTTTCTTCTAGGAAACTTGGTGATCACTTCAATTCTATGTTGGCTTGACGCATTGTACCTTGATGGCTGAATGCTCATTACAATCATGTACAAAAGACATATTCGTCCTTTGTCTGTACATATTTTGTCCCATCCTGCCTGCATCTGTAAAAGCTCTGCGGTTCTTCTTTTGCTTCGAGCTCGTGGCTAGACACACTCGACCAGATCGTCGACTGGCCATTGTTTTGCTTTTTGCCTGATTCATGTTTTTTTAGCGTGGTGGTTATCGGTTTCCCTCTTTTTTTCCTCTTCTTTTGCATTTTTTCTTGGTATCCCAACTTTTGTTCCTCGGGTTTATGGGTTGTTATCTTTCTATTTTCAATTGAACATGCATAGATCAATTATTGTTTCTATCTGATTCTTCCTTCGTTGGCGAATTCTCCACGCTCCGTCTCGGTATTGCCATGGTCTGTTTACCGCTTTGACTTGATTTCCATCTAGTTCGGGGCAGCCTCAGGTTTCAATCCAAATCACAAGAAAGATGACTTAGCAGACCCTGAAATATGACACCAACCCATACGCAGAAGGGGATTCAAACATCAAATATCTTTCTCCGATCTCTCATTTTCTTTGCACCATCACAGCCATACTCAGCTGACTCTCTGGCACATTCATCCTTCTCGTAGTTTAGACCAACCTACCCTCGACATCTACGAAGCTTTCATCGGTTTACTCTTGGTCAACGAACAATCAGGGCATCCGATTGTTGCTACAGCAGTATACCTTAGGACACTCATTTTATGATGGATGCCTAGAATCTTAGATGTCAGGCCACAACCCAAGGTAGGCAGTTCACGCTTCTCCCCTTGACCATTTCCCCAAATTGGACACGAGAGCTATCCCCTTGGCAGGCTCTCGGCCAACGCCGAAAATTGGAGCGATGGGCCATCTGTGTGATAACGGAGGTGGTGTGTGGCCGAAGCCTAGTGGACTTCTTTTCACATTTTGCTGAAACCGAGGTTGCCGGCACCGAGGTTTCTAACCATGGGACTTCTGATTTATCGCAGCCCAACAGAAATCCACCTGGGCTGGAGTTCCTAACCCGCCACCAAGCGTTCCCTCCGCGCATTGCTACCAAAGGACTTATACCCCTTCTCGCCAGTTACATAGACCGGACCGTTTCAGCAGTCGAGTCAGCGAGTGTCGTGCGGTTGGCGCGTCCACAACACGACTTATCGTTGGCCTCACGTATATATGGCATACCTCAAGCCCCAGCGATGCTCACTGTGACACAGTCCAGTTTCGAGGATAATGATAGGCAGGTAGATCCGCTGGGGCTGAAAGAGCTGTACCGGATAGCTTCGAACTGCATGCTGTCGACTTTAACTTAAGCAAGGCCGTCAAGGGCGCCAAGAGCGCCAAGCGCGATAACGTGGCGCGCACCGGCACGGACCGCCCGGCAATTCCTAAATCGATTATCGTGACGGGATTCCCGGTGCTGGGGCACCGCCAATCAAGAATACTCCTTGGTTCAGCTCTACTCAATCGTTGCTTGCTGCCGAGACAGAGCAAGATATTCTTGCGACTTTGTGGACTTTCGTGACCCGCGATACTAGTAATCTCCAATCGACCGGGTATCAGGCTAGCTTTTCTGAGTTCTATGCAATGATGGCGCTCCGGGCAGGTGTCTCCTTCGTTGCTTACAACGGCACCCTCTTAATTGATACTGCGGTCGTCATGCAGGCGGTACCATAGATTCCAAACATGGTGTATGATGGTATGACTGGTGACCAAAGGGGAGCTGTGATCTTTCTCAATTACGACATGGGCAAAGCTTGGGCTGCTTGCTATCTTGCAGCGGTCCGCTGGTATACCAATGCTCTCCTAGCACCATGGGATTAAGCACAATAGCGAGCAGCCTATATGCATACACATCACAACGTCATGGACCTGGACCTGGATACTGGAAATACGTCCGCCCACGGCTCATCCGCGCGCGGGGCCAAACCTCCAGCTTTGACTTGCCTGTCTGTACCCTCAGCTTTTGGTACGATGGTGGTCTTTAAGGGTGCTATCCACTACCGCTCCATCCATGCAATCACCGTCCACAACCCATCTACGACTCCCGCATAACTGGTGCTATCAACGCCGTGTCCTTAATCACAGAGTGTGAGATTTATGAGCAATAGCGCTCCCAAGTTGATACATCCGCTGCCAGCGTGGATAGTTGGCTCCGCGACCTAGCAACTCGTGGTGAGAGCCATGTCTTGCTCCGTGCCACAGCAGGAGCAGCTACAAGCTTCCTCGTTCTATTGTCTAGCACCCTTACTGCTGTTCTGGAATGTGATTGGTCGCCCTATGCAGAAGTTAAAGGTTTGATAGAAGTATTGTTATAAGAGAATGAACCAGCTGTCGGGCTGTTTAAATACCGCTCTTCTTTGATTTAATGGTAAGAATAGTTTAATGTATAGCCTGCTAAACATTCATCTATACCTTGCCAAATAGGTCTCATGTGTTACAAGTGCAGTGTCTGTGATATGATACTTGAACCCCCAAGCCTCTTAACGTACTGTTAGATACGCTCGCGGTATCTTCTAGTAAAGGCGAAATTGGGATGATAGAGTTAAAGCATCCAATGGTACGTTGGTGAACCATGGCACAGCTTACTACCAAGGTTTTGTTATCCATGGATTTTAAGATTTCTTTCCATGGACGTTTATTTCCTTTGTTCCGGATATGGAAGGTGATCTCGGGAAGGCCGAATGTGGGGCTATTCATCAAGAATAGCAGATATTCTCTAACAAGCAACCGTCCTCATCCAATGAATATCCTTCTGGCCTTGGGGCCCTAATCCACATTTCCTCAACACTTTGCTATCAGAATGTCGTCCCTTTCGACCGAGTTCAGGGATGGCAAACACGGAATAAACCCGGACCTCCATCACAATTTTTGTAAAAACTTTAACTTCAACTCCCAGTGCTTCACGCTCTGATCTCCTTTACCCCACCATCGAAGCCATCATCCAGATATGCAAACGCGGTCTGAGGCTCATCCTCCAGACCTCCTTGTAATTATTGATATCACAACACAAGGCGGTCAAAAACTTTGGGACAGGCTTGAACGAAAAAGCGAGTGCCATTTAGTAGAAGGGTATATGCTTGCCTATGTTAGCTATCGTATGTAATTGATGCTTCTGAACACTTCCAAGATTCCTTTAGAAGGTACCCTTGTCAACTGAAGCAATGTTGACTAGGTGCTCAGCTTGTTAGAGATCTTTCCTAGATGAGGTTGGAGTCATGCCTAAGAAATTTCCAATCACGGAGTTTACAATATACAGTATAGGAAGTAGCCGGAAGTGATAGCTCTGACATCTCACACAGTATCACAGTTTCTCCTAATCGGGCGACCTGACGTTAGATATGGGCTCTAAATTTAGCAGACAAGAATAGCCAAACACTAATCAAGCAGACAAAGTACTATCGACATGGTCTCTAGCGCCGAGTCAGGCACTAATGCATGACCCAGCGATCCATCACCCGGGCTCCCGTCGCTACAATTTTCACGATCCAACGAGTCATGCTACTCCATGGGGACAGGATAGGAATTCTATTCCCGAGCCCTGCCTAACTGCCTAACCCGTTGAAAAAAGAGACGCCTGACACCCACGTCATGTTTGATAAAGAACCCCCATGTAAAAAATAATAAAGGATTGATTGACCAATAGAGAAAAGAGTCTGTACTATTATTTCGCATGGTGGTGAGGGATTGGTGGCCTTGTCATGAACTATATGCTTGGCACACCTAAATCATGCATGAACTACTCCTGTGACACAAGTCTATGTCATTTGGGCAGCCAAATAAGCAAACAAATCGGATTGTCTAGATTCCAGCCAAGTACTCCATATTCCGTAGTTGGAAGCCATGCACCTCTTAACGGTCTAGACATCTTAATTTGAGGCCGGTTTTTATGCAGAAAGCCCTTTTTGGATGCCTAAGGTTGCATTATTGTGTTACCGTGCTATGGAGTACTTGTACTATGTGCTATACCGCTCCTCATTTATATTTTATTATATTCCCAATCGCTATGTTTTTTTCTGATACCCACATGGAGATAAGAAAAGAAGAATTCAAGGGAGACTATTGATTCTAGAAGGAATCCTTGGCAATTCAATATCTAGAATCCTTATAAATAGAAGCTCAAATGTCAGAATAATGAAAATAAGGTTAGACACACAAATTTGGAGAAATTAAAAATCAAAGAAAATGGTAAAAAGAAAAAAATATATATATTAAAAAAACAAACCTTGGAAAACCCCGGTAGACCCAAGAACCGGGAAATGGAAATGACAATTAATGCATGGTTCAATATGTATTCCACTGATCTGGAGTAATTCCTCCGACGCTAGTGTATACCCAAAAGTGTATGCAAGAGAGAAGATGTTGGATGTTTACCCCTCTATATTTCCTGGACTTTGAGGGCTCTGAGAGGACCACACGCATTTTGGACCAGTCATTTTCCCAGGGACAATCCTGGTTGCCTGCGAGATCCGATGATCTGCATTCCCTCATGCACGATCTCGGATCTCTTGGGGCCTAATGGCAAGTATGACGATCGGCTGGAACTGCAATTTCTTTTTTTCTTTTTTTCTCTTTATTAGGAGTATTCCATACCTCTGACATTTTCATAAAATAACTCTAAAGTTCCGACTTTCCAAGATCTCTCTCTGTCGAATCAAAGGAAAGTCTCGGTAGATCCAAACCTTCGAGACTAGTTCCTCCGATCGGAAATAAAATACAAAGGGATCTTCCTTTTGATGGGTGGATCGAATCTTAGCTTGAATGCAATAAAAGGACATACCTTAGGGCCCGAGGTGACTGCCGCTTTCAAATAATATATTAAACTTCCAAGTAAATAGACTCGGCTGTCAGATGGAGACAGGTTCTTATACGGAGTACTCCGTATGGATCATATGGCTATAAAGGAGAAAGACAACGATTCCATAGTGTTCCAACGCTTTTTTTTCTTATTACATTGTACTATACAGGATTCATTAGGAACCTATCCAATCACACCCAAAAAAAAAATGAAGAAATAGAAAACTCCATTGTTCCGAATTAGCAGAGTGGCAATGGACTGAATCACACTCAGCTTGCATTTAGTCTATCTCCAGACAGAGACTGGCGCCATTATTAAATTGTCAGAATGTGACTAGTTTCTAGAGCGGGTCTGTTAGTGCGATGTCGTGTCCAAGCTGAGAAACTCCAGAATATAGTGCTCCCGATTACAGATGCGATACGCGAGGCAAAGATCCTTAGCGCAAATCACTTTTATCGGTGACATTTTAGACTAAGCACCTAAAATGCGACACACCTAAGAGATATCATATGCGAGCATATCTATGGTCCAATCAAGTCACCAGCCACAAATTCACAGGGCACGCATGAGAAGGGGAAAAAGAAAAAGCCAAAGCGGGTTCTCCGGGTGATCCTTGATCTGACGTTCGGAGACCAAAAAAAAAAAAAAGAGGCAAGCTCTCGAAGGAAGTGGAGATACAAATTGAAGAACCCCTAGATCCCTGCCAATACCCAGCCCCCCTCTCTTTCCGTCTGGTCGATCAATCACCGTGCCCGATCGATCGAGCCGAGGCGTCATCTCTTCGATTTCTCATTCGTTCAAATCAAATCCAGAACATTTCTGGCTTTTTTACCCACCATCCGGGTTAAGCTCCCCTCGGAACACGATCTTTTTGGAACCAGTGACAACTCTCCTTGAAAGCGGCGATCTTTTCCTTCGACTTGGAGTCGTCTGAAAGATCCCAGTTTGGGTCTTTTAAAAAATATATATATTTGAGAGATCTCGGGTTATATCTTTTGGATCTTGGATTCAACACTCTTGTCTTTCCAAGGTTTCCTCCCATAGTGGATATTTCTCTTTTTTTTTTTTTTTCCCATGAACTACTTCAATCTCCCAGATCCCCAGAAAAAAAGCAATTAGAATGTGATTTGATTTTAATATATATTTAATTAAGTAATTAACTTTAGCCTGACTCAGGCACATTATGACAGAATTCTCCCCTCCTTACTCCCGTGGCTGTCTGCCGGACATCCCCTCTCTAACCTTTCTTATTTCTTATTTCTTTTATATTTTGAGTACTTCTCATGTATGTATCTCGTTTGGGGATTCAGATCTTTAGAATCTCTCTTTTTTTTTAGGGTATGAAACTTTGCTTATAACATGGGATCCCCGATTTTGACGTACACTAGTGAACACTTATTTCTTTTTTTGATTTTCCTATTTTAAATTCTTTTTATTTGATTCCTTTACTCCGAAACATCCAATCAAAACCCCTAAATCCCTAAATCCCTAAAAAAAAAAAAAAAACAATATATGGAAAGTAGTTCGTGAGATCCAGAGACTCAACCTTAAGGCCCCCCTTAGCCCTTGACACGGCCACTGTATCCACCAGCCCACGATCGTCATTTTTCGGCCCCTGTTCTTACTTTACCATGGACATGTAACAGCTGGATATCTCTTTTATTTTTTTATTTAATTAATTTTACATATTGGGGCGACTTTTTTTTTGGTTGAAATAATGTACGGGGCCCTGCATTATTTGGGAACCATTTCCATTGCCCTCATTCCCCAACCTTGCATATAATCTTGGCCTTTCTCGTTTTTCTTCTACCATGTCGACGTAAAATCAGCCTACTTTCCCGAGTGCTTCTTTGGATTTCACCTCCCTTTTATTTCTCTGGATCTTCGATTCTCATATCCGCTGTGTCGAGTATAGATCTATTCGGTAACACATTGTGAAACTCGTTGCGGACATTTCTATCCTTGTCCCTCCCCTACCTTGTCTATGTCACAGTCCCGCGAGGTAGACGAAGATACCGATATGGCTATTTCGTATACCCAGTCAACCGGACATCCTCACCAAACCCTCCCCTCATTCCGCGAGGTAAGATACAACCTTCTGGGGAAATACACCCTGAATTCAATATCTAACATCTCGCAGCTTCTTCCCCCCACCTCCACGATGAAATTGAATCAACATCTCCGTTCTACACCACACCCCGCCACTCACAAGACCGCCCACCCTCAGGCCACGATATGGCCGACCCCCGCTCAATCC